CTGACTGGCACTTGGGCGGTGCCTGGGGAGTTGCACGGTTGTGCGAGTTGAAATACTGCAATGAAGAAATGAGATCCTGCAGAAGACCCCGAAGCCCAAGCCACCAAAACCTCCTCTGGGGAGCAGCCTCAACAGCTAGGAGATCCGCTGGCGCCAGAGATCCCCGAAGGAACGTGATCCCCTCGACGGCGCCTCCCGAGGGCCTGCAGCAGTCAGCTGGGAAATGGTGGAGGCCTGCGAACGCGTATTTATCTGGGGCTGGGGAGGAGATGGCAGAGATCGTGGTATCTGAAACCAAACAAGGTTGGCCAGGACGGAGTTTTACTTGTGCCATGAAGTCTTGGGCATTCAGAGTTGTTCAAGAGCACATTTTGTCAGCGCCTGAGCTGGTGTTTAGGCCTTGCGAATGCCTGCGCAGTGACCAGCCTCTACATTTCTTTTTAAATGACTGAAATGGAGCAAGGTCAACGTCGATCCATGCGCATCCGTGGTGACAGCCGGGGGTATTTGAGTGGAGATAAAGTGAGGAAACGCCAGGAGGCCGCTGGAGGGTGTCGGAAAGCAACGGCGGTGGCCTCGCCTGTTCCCTCGGCAGTAACCGTCTGCAGACACAGCCCGTGCCAAGGCACCGTTACCGAGTTTGTGGGCGTGCGTTTAGGAAGGCCCTTGCAGTCACAGCGATTGCTGGGTTCTGCATTTCATGTGGGGAAATACAGCACGGGGAAGGGGATTTATTGGACATAAGGGGATAGCAGGCTGCCTGGTCATCCTCGGGAAAGCCCCTCTCGGAGCCCGCGGTTTGAGGTTGGCTTCTTGCAAAGGGAAGAAGAACAGCCTGGGAGGTCAGCGTGCCTTGTGCTCATGTTCTGGCTGGGGTCTCCCAGGATGAGCTGAAGTGAGACATCCCAGTGAGGGTGCTCCTGGTGCTGCCCCTGCAGCGCTTGCTGTTCCCGCTGCGAGTGTGTGTGTGTGTGTGTGTTTCTGCATGTGTGCGCATTAAAGTGGAGCTTTTGCAGGTGCTGACACGATGCTCTGCTCGGCTGCCTCATTTCATTGCAGTTTTAATTGCTGACCTTTCCGCAACCTTGAAATCCTTGGGTCCCCGGAGAGGTGAGGTACAGGGATTGAACCCGGCGCTGCTAAAGCAGGGCCTCAAACACTGGTGGGCTCCGCGCCCCCGCTGAGACCGTGATCGCCCTGTCGGGCCCCGCAGCACCGGGAGCGGGCGAGGGGAGCGCTGCCCTGGGCGACGCCGTGTCACCGCGTCTGTCCCGACGGGCAAGTCACGAACTCGAGGAGCTGTCGTGTTGGCTCCGGGCCGCCGTGGCTGGCCG